CAGAAGAAGAAATGGAGAAAATATTCAAAGATCTTTATACTTAAATAGATTTTTTTAAACTAGTATCACTAAATATGGGAAAAAAGCATGGAAAATTAGTTAATGCATATTAATCCAACTGTCCATCACAGTTAAAGGGTTTTTTGGTGAGGCAGTTGACTCGTAAAAGCTTTCTCTGGCTCCTCTCCCCAGCCTCAGCTCTACAACTCCTTGCCTGTATGAGTCAACACGAAAATTACAAAGATGACAAATAACAACCAATCAAAAGCTCATTTTATCCAAGATTCTATTTCATTTAGTAACTAATTCATAAACACATTAGAAGAAAAATGTTCAAATTCAAGATAATAATGGCAAATAAGGAAAACTGTTTATTAAAGTCAATGCGTCCCTGACTAATAAGAGTACTTGAAGCTTATCCTTTAGAAAAATTCAGAAACACATGAAAAGACAAGACAAAAAAGGGCCAGCAGACACCTCTTTCCTCTACTCCACGACCTTGGCAAGCTGTCTCCACGGAGACTGTTTTCTCATCTGTACAAGGAGTTCAGATAACTAACTGGATGAGTGAGCTCCACGGTTTTCTAACACTCTGTGATTTTACATTTGGAAAAGAAAGGCTAGATATTTTATTCTGCTTAACATTTCCCCAAAAGTTGCACATCAGAATCTATACCTAGTCAGAGATTTCTAGAAATTAATACTGTTGCAGAGTTTCTAGCCAATTAACAGTTAAGATTTGGTGCCCAACATACAATAAACAATCTTTGGAGATGTGGTAGGCGGATTTCTAGGATGGTTCCAAGATTCCTGCCTCCCGTGATACATGCTTTGGACAGTTCCCTCCCCTCAGAATGGGCAAGACTGAGAAACACGAAGGGGTATCACTTCTGTGATTAGGACACATTGGAAGGTGAAGGATTCTGTAGATTTAACCAAGATCCCTCACCAGTGAACTTGGTTGTTTTCCAGTTGCTCAGTCATGTCTGACACTTTGCAGCTCCATGGACTGCAGCACGTCAGGCTCCTCTGTCCTCCACTATCTCCTGTAATTTGCTCAAATTCATGACCATCGTCTCAGTGATGCTATCTAACCATCTCATCCTCTGCTGCCCCCTTCTCTTTTTGCCTTCAATCTTTCCCTGCACTGGAGTTTCTTCCAATGAGTCGGCCCTTCTTTGCATCAGGTGGCCAAAGTACTGGAGCTTCAGCATCAGTCCTTCCAACGAATATTCAGGGTTGACCTCCTTTAGGACGGACTGGTTTGCTCTTCCTGCTGTCCAAGCACTCTCAAGAGTCTTCTCCAGCACCCCAATTTGAAAGCATCAATTCTCCAGTGCTCAGCCTTCTTTACGGTCCAACTCTCATATTTGTATATGACTACTGGAAAAGCCATGGCTATGACAATATGGACCTTCGTCGGCACAGTGATGTCTCTGCTTTCTAATACACTGTCCTTCTAAGGAGAAAGAGGCTTTTAATTTCATGGCTACGGTCACTATCCACAGTGATTTTGGAGCCCAAGGAAATAAAATCTGTCACTGCTACCACTTCCCCCCCTTCTATGTGCCATGAAGTGATGGGACTAGATGACACGATCTTAGTTTTTTCTCATGTTGAGTTTCAAGACAGCTTTTTCACTCTTTGAAAGGGAGATTATCCTGGATGGGTCTTACCTAATCAGGCGAGCCCTTAAATGAGACAAGCAGCGCAGACCGGCCTTGAAAAAGCCAGCTGCCATGTGCAAAGGAGGGGACCACATGGCAAAGACCTCAGTCCAGTCTCCAGAGCGGAGAGTGGTCCTGGCCGAGAGCTGCCGAGAAAACAGAGGTGCTGGTCATACAACTACAAGGGAATGAACTCTGCCAGCAATCAGTGAGCTGGGAAAAGGACCCTGAGCCTCAGACGAGACTGCAGCCTTGGCTGACACCTTGGCTTCAGCCTGTGAGGCTCTTAGCAGAAGACCCAGCTAACCCATACTCATAATCCAGACCCACAGGACATAGAGATGCTTGTGAGCATCTGTTAGTCAGCGACAGAAAACTAACACAGGACACTCGGACTTTAGGGAGGGCTTCCCTGGTAGCTCAGTTGGTAAAGAATCCGCCTGCAGTGCAGGAGACCCCGGTCCAATTCCTGGGTCGGGAAGATCCGCTGGAGAAGGGATAAGCTACCCACTCCAGTATTCTGGCCTGGAGAATTCCATGGACTACAGTCCATGGGGCTGCAAAGAGTCAGACATGATTGAGCGACTTTCACTAGACTTTGGGGAACAAAACCAGGGGGTGTTTCTCCATTTTACCACCAAGTAGACCTTTTCCAGGGTTTTCCAGTCCACATTTTCCTGGAAAGCACTGTCTGCTTACTCAAGACTTCTTTCTTCTGAATCCATTTTGGATTCATTGAGTCTTGTATAACCTTGGCCTGAAAGACCAGTAGCCATTCCACTGTGGGCATGAGATAAAAGGAAGAAGGTCCACATGTGGTCCACAAAGGGATACAGCAGAGCCAGTGAGTGTCCAATAAAGTATGACCATGCAGTTCAAAGATATGTGACACTGTAGAGGGGAAGGTTTGGTACAGTTTCAAAAGCTGTAGAAATTATAGTCCTAAAGTTAGATCCCTTCTCCATTTTGTGCAATCTAGTAGACAGTATTTACAGTCTCATAGCTTGAGAGCTGTATATGGGCACAGAATAAAACTTTAAATTGTGCAGCTTTGGGATAAGGACCAAAAAGGCAGCAAGACATATCCAAAATTTACTATTTCTTAAACTCAGACTTTTTCTTAAGTCTATTCCAGCTTCTAGTCTTTTTTTTTCGACTAGGAGAAATCTCAGGTTCCTGAAGTGGGATAGGAGAACCACCTGTGTCAGATTCACTCAAGGATACCTGCCAACATGGAGACTCCTGGGCCCCAAAGAGCCAAGAACTGGAATCTCTGTGGGGAAGGACCCAGGGAACATATACTTCAACAAGCTGAGTCTTGCACAGTCATTCTGCAAGCCAGCAATCTAACTTGGCTAATTCCATCCATTTATAGATGAGGAACACAAGCCTAAGCAACTTGTTTACAGAGACGTGGTGAGCAAGGAGGAGAGCTAAAATTAAAATCAGGAATGTAAAATCTACTAACACAGACTAGGAAGCTGGAAATGAATCAGTGTCCCTGTGTTTTCCACATTAATATTCTCCCCAATTAGTAGAGATAATTAAGCATTGAAGATAAAATGACTCTAATGACAGAAATATGTAAACACATTAGGGGAAAAATTCCATTTCACCAAGATCTGTGATTAGTTAGCATGGTATGGCTGGTGCAATTTGACAGTACACTGAGTTATCATTGGAATGGTTTGGGACGAAGGTTCCTCATTGAACCTTATCTTCCAACCACCCATTAGCTCCAAACAATGTGTATCCATTCTGGTTTTAGGCGTGGTGTCTGCTCTCTGCAGACAACGGGGCTATCACAGTGATGTGTGCAGGCTGCCTCTACCCTCTCCAGGTGTGGTCCCCATAGCACTTCCATTGCAGCAGTCACCTTTGGGCTTGGGACCACCCTTCCTCAGGTGCACAGCATGCAGAAAAGTAGAGTCTGCCTGAAGATAATCCCCAAGCTCACTCCATCACCAACTGATCACAAGCTGTTGCTGTGGATTTATATGTATTCCTTCATTAGGATAGCACTTCAACATTACGTTAAAATCCTACCCCCCCGCCCCAGTTCCTTAGAATGTGACTGGATATAGAGACGGAGCCTTCAAAGAAGTAATTAAGGTTATATGAGGGTGTTAGGGTGAGCCCTAACCCAACAGGACTGGTGTCCTTATAAGAAGGAGGATACCAGGGGTGCATGTACAGGGAAAAGACTATATGAGAAGGAAGCAAGAAGGTGGCTATTTACAGCGAAGGAGACAGACCTCAGAGGAGCCCAACTCTCCCGCCACCGTGACCTTGGACTCTCAGCCCACAGAACCGTCAGAAAATTCACTTCTGTTGTTTAAGCCAAAAAAAGAATAAAACACATATTTCTGCAAATCTTACATATCAGGAACTAATAAACATTTCGCAAATACTCTCTTCCTATTCTAGGAGGTAGGTAAATATTCTTTGTCTCAGTAATAAACAGAGCAGCCAGAGCTGACTTAGTACCATGTCACTAAGTCAGAGTCCAAATCCAGAGTTCTGTACACTCTTGATGTTGTGATCCCTGAATCATGAGGTCTCTTGTAAGAAAAGGAAAAACAGGCATTCTTATTTTGCAACACTGCTAGTGAATTCACCGGTTAATGAAATGATCCAAAGAAAGCCCTGGCTCGACAAGCATCTGGTTAATATGCTACGGGTGGACTAGTCCACAGATTCATAACTTGGTCTTGATCCTTGGAGGCAAAAGAAGGCAGCAGTGCAGAACGACCAGTGCAAGGGATCACTGGGTGAGGCTGGGAAACTGATGGCTCATCAGTCTCCATAAATCACACACCCATGAGGTCTTCCCCAGCCGTGCCAGGACAGTGATCAAGCATGAAACCCACAGGGGGGCCGGCCACCTAGGGAGCCTGCCCATCTCAAGATGGTCAGAGTTGGACCATAAAGAAGGCTGAGAACCAAAGAATTGATGCTTTTGAATTGTGATGTTGGAGAAGACTCTTGAGAGTCCCTTGGACTGCAAGGAGATCCAACCAGTCCATCCTAAAGGAAATCAATCCTGAATATTCATTGGAAAGACTGATGCTGAAGCCCTAGAACTCTGGCCACCTGATGCGCAGAGCCGATTCATTAGAAAAGACCCTGATGCTGGGAAAGACTGAAGCAGGAAGAGAAGGGGACCACAGAGGATGAGATGGTTGGATGGCATCACTGACTCAATGGACATGAGTTTAAGCAAGCTCTAGGAGATGGTGAAGGACAGGAATGCCTGGCATGCTGCAGTCCGTGGGGTTGCAAACAGTCAGACTGAACTGAGCGACAAACAACAAAAATAAAAGTTCGGGGAATTCCCTGGTGGTACAGTGGTTAGTACTTGGCGCTTTCACTGCCAAGGGCCTAGGTTTGATCCCTGGTTGGGGAACTAAGATCCCATATGCTGTGTGGTGTGGCCAAAAAAAAAATTTTTTTAAGTAAAAGTTCAAGTCACTGAACCTAGAATCAGGTATCTTTGGGTGAGTTCAGAGCTGTCTTTTCCTTTCAGGGATCTTAGAGGCCTACTTTAAGATGAGAGAATGGAGGGCAAAATAGATTAGGTAAAATTAAGCATGGCATTAAGGGTTTTGGAAGAGGGTATATGGTCACTGGTCAAATGAACTGCTCCACACCAAGGAAGTCGAGCGCTGAGTAACAGGTGGGGTCACGGAGGTAGTGTCCCCTGACATCCCTGCTCAAGGGCATCTCGCTCTGTTCTGACACTGCGGGCTAGACGTCCATGTGGGTCCCTGCAGAGTGAGTGATGGGCTCCACACTGTCCAGTCTCCTGGAGCCCGAAGAGGTGAAACGACAGCTAACAAGCAGCAAAGAGGCAGAGAAAATCTGCCCAGAAGAAGTTGGGAATTGAGTGTTGCTGCTGCTTCCTTCCTTTTTTTTTTTTTTGGTAGAAGGAATAGTTTCTAGTAGACATGTTAATATGCTGCAGTATTCATATTATAGGGAATATAAGAAATTAATAATACATTTTAATAGATTTTTAAAAAAGACACTACCATGGTGATGAATGCCATATTTAACATTCTTGCTGAGACTCACACACGAGGAAACAGACTCGGGAACTCACCATTTGTCACAGCTTTGTTTACAACAGCAAACTTTCTTGGCAGTGGGATCTGTCAAAAATTCTTTATCTGAATAGCTCCTCTAGAAAAATACTTGCACATATTCATGAGATGTGTAAGAGTATTCATAGAAGACTAGTTTGTTATGAGGAAAACAAGAGCAAACCTAAGGCCTGGCAACAAGGAACAATAAAATAAACGGAATGGACCTAAATTTGAGATGATGATGCAGCAGCATGAGGAGGTCTTTGTACTGAACGTGGAGCCTTGGACTAACCCTAACCCTAACCCTAACCCTAACCCTAACCCTTCCTGTATTCTAATCCCAGCTCCACCGATGCCTCTTACAAGGTGTATGGCTGTGAACGAGGCTGTAACCAGCAGTGGTCCATGAATCGCTGTTTCCCTGTTTAAGAGACCGGCTACATGACCTTAGGAAAATTCTGTAACGTCTCTAGGACTCAATTTCCCCATACTGTAAAATGCAAATAATAACAGTGGTCTACTTACAGGGCTCATGGGAGGTTTATCAGTAAAGTGCTTATAACACTGCCTGACATAGAGTAAGGGTCATTTAAGTGTTAGTTTTTAGTAGCACTATTCCCCAATACATATTGTGTGTTCAAGGGGAATGCGGGAGAGAAAAACACTTAGAGATTACCCCATTTATAGAAAATAAAACCAGTAAGCCCCAACACAGCTCTCCTATTCCCCCTGCTCTCCTCCCACCCCAACACACACATACAGACAGAAGAGAGATGGGGAGACAGGAATGGGTATGAGAGGAAATTCTGACTGACAAGTCTAGCCTTCAGAACTGTAATCTTTTGGAACCTGAATCATCTACACTGGCTTTCTCCAAGTTTTTACCTCCTACTCACTCCTAATGTTACATCAAACTGCATTCCGCTCATATCACATCTCCAAAATTACTCTCTAGTCGTTAATAACCTCTTACTGGTAAAACGAAAATGTATTTTTTCAATTCTCATTTTATTCCACTTCTTTATGCCTTTCAACACTCTTTTAAGAGCGGGTTCCAGGAAGCCACACCTTGCTGTTTGCCACACCTGGCTCTTCTGCTCTGCTCCCAGATCCCCGGTCTCCCTGGCATTCTCCTGCCCTCCACGGCGGCCTTGGGCGCTTTCTCTGGACTCTTGAGTCTACTTGTAGGCAACCTCCTCAGTGCCCAGGGCTCCTGTTACGATTTCTGGGGACATTCCTCTCACACTTGCACCCCCACTGCAGATCCTTCCTGAGCACCTGACGACAAAAACTGCCCACTGGGCATCGCCGTCTGGATATTTTGAATGAGATTTCGTGTTGAGGCCCAATCCTCCGGCTTCCATCCTTCCCTACCTCATCCCTCCAGTTACGGAAGCCACATACTCAGGGCCCCTCTCGACAAATCCCTCTTCTTCACAGTGGATTCCTCTATCCCCCTTTCATCCATCTCCCCGCCTCCTTCCAATCTCACTCACTACCTTCTTCAGGCTAAAACAATCTCTCACCTGGGACTCTGTGACTGCCTCCGAACTGGATTCCAGATTTTACCCTTCCTCCCAGAGGTTCTTAACCAGGGTCCAGGATCTTCAGAACTATTACATTTTTAAAGAAGACTAGTTTGTTGAGGAAAACAAGAGCAAACCTAAGGCCTGGCAACAAGGAACAATAAAATAAACGGAATGGACCTAAATTTGAGATGATGATGCAGCAGCATGAGGAGGTCTTTGTACTGAACGTGGAGCCTTGGACTAACCCTAACCCTAACCCTAACCCTAACCCTAACCCTTCCTGTATTCTAATCCCAGCTCCACCGATGCCTCTTACAAGGTGTATGGCTGTGAACGAGGCTGTAACCAGCAGTGGTCCATGAATCGCTGTTTCCCTGTTTAAGAGACCGGCTACATGACCTTAGGAAAATTCTGTAACGTCTCTAGGACTCAATTTCCCCATACTGTAAAATGCAAATAATAACAGTGGTCTACTTACAGGGCTCATGGGAGGTTTATCAGTAAAGTGCTTATAACACTGCCTGACATAGAGTAAGGGTCATTTAAGTGTTAGTTTTTAGTAGCACTATTCCCCAATACATATTGTGTGTTCAAGGGGAATGCGGGAGAGAAAAACACTTAGAGATTACCCCATTTATAGAAAATAAAACCAGTAAGCCCCAACACAGCTCTCCTATTCCCCCTGCTCTCCTCCCACCCCAACACACACATACAGACAGGAGAGAGATGGGGAGACAGGAATGGGTATGAGAGGAAATTCTGACTGACAAGTCTAGCCTTCAGAACTGTAATCTTTTGGAACCTGAATCATCTACACTGGCTTTCTCCAAGTTTTTACCTCCTACTCACTCCTAATGTTACATCAAACTGCATTCCGCTCATATCACATCTCCAAAATTACTCTCTAGTCGTTAATAACCTCTTACTGGTAAAACGAAAATGTATTTTTTCAATTCTCATTTTATTCCACTTCTTTATGCCTTTCACCACTCTTTTAAGAGCGGGTTCCAGGAAGCCACACCTTGCTGTTTGCCACACCTGGCTCTTCTGCTCCGCTCCCAGGTCCCCGGTCTCCCTGGCATTCTCCTGCCCTCCACGGCGGCCTTGGGTGCTTTCTCTGGACTCTTGAGTCTACTTGTAGGCAACCTCCTCAGTGCCCAGGGCTCCTGTTACGATTTCTGGGGACATTCCTCTCACACTTGCACCCCCACTGCAGATCCTTCCTGAGCACCTGACGACAAAAACTGCCCACTGGGCATCGCCGTCTGGATATTTTGAATGAGATTTCGTGTTGAGGCCCAATCCTCCGGCTTCCATCCTTCCCTACCTCATCCCTCCAGTTACGGAAGCCACATACTCAGGGCCCCTCTCGACAAATCCCTCTTCTTCACAGTGGATTCCTCTATCCCCCTTTCATCCATCTCCCCCCCTCCTTCCAATCTCACTCGCTACCTTCTTCAGGCTAAAACAATCTCTCACCTGGGACTCTGTGACTGCCTCCGAACTGGATTCCAGATTTTACCCTTCCTCCCAGAGGTTCTTAACCAGGGTCCAGGATCTTCAGAACTATTACATTTTTATTTTCATTAATCTCAGACTGAAATTTAGCATTTCCATGAGTCATGAACATTAGCAACAAATCATGCTAGTATTAATACTAGCAGAATGCTAATATTAAATAGTATTGGGAGAATACCAATATTCCAAATACTGCTGTGATTTTGCCAACAAAAGAAATCAGGTATTTTTGTATAACATGACAATTGTTAGATATATTGTTCACTGTCATTATTACTTTGAAACTGTGGTAGCTATTAGACCCCCCACTAAATCTGACTATGTAATACATTAAGAAGCACACACACCATGACATCACATGTGTCTTTACTTTGTTGACAATTATATTTCAATACAGTTGGTCTCCTTTTGTAACCCTTTGTGTTTTATGTTACAGGTTTTAAAACATTATTCTTAGAGTTTTCCTTGAGCATCAAAAAAACAGCCTAAGCTATCAATAGCACAATAAAAGTCAAGAACTCCCGATAGCTAATTTTCACACCATGGTCAAAGTTATTCTCTCAAAACACAAACCGCATGTCACCTTCACATTGTCAACGTCACCATCACCTGGTTAACCCCTCCCTTGCTAATAAAAACTACTCAATAATCTGGCCCTCCCTACCTCTCTGACCGCACCTGGCATCAACCCCTTGCTGCTGAGGCTGTAGCCACACTAGCTGCCTTTAGGCAGTTCAAGTTTGCCATTCTCCACCTGCCCCAGAGACTTGCTTCTCTGCCCACTCACCCCTATCTACTGCCTCCACCTGTTGACACAGCTAACCCTTTCCCATCTTCAGACCACCCTTACGCATCTCCTCAGTAAGGCCCTCCTGGGACCCCAAGGCCATCCTTTCCCTTGGCTCTACATTCAGGGCTACCAGAGCTTTCTCCCCACCGCACTTTTCACAGTTAGTATAACCTCCTCTCCTCTGTGAAGATATCAGTTCCACAAGACAGGAACCATGAGTGCTTTGGCTCTATTTCACTGCAGACCATTGCTAGAAAATCAATTAACATTTGTCAAATGAATGAGTGGCAGAAAAAAACCAACCTAAATATCCAATGATGAAAGCAATTAAATAGGTGATGGCATTACACAACCCAAGTTACTAGGCAGCCTTTAAAAATAATGTAGTAGAAGTATATTTACTGACATGAAAATTTATCAATATATCTAATACTTAATGTAATAATAATTGTAAGGGGCAAGCTACCAAGCAACTGTTCAGCAA